GTTAAAACACTGTTTAGTCAAAGTTAAACATGAAACGTCAAAGTTCATTACAACTGGCCCTTCAAGGGCCAAAACGCTCATGTGGCACTCAGTGAAAATGAGTTTGACACCCCTGATGTAGGACAATACACGACTGAAAGAAAATACTTACAGGCGTTGTAAGCCTTTTTATGGGACAGGATTTCGATCACATCCTTCTTCTTGAAACTTTCCAGGGACGGCTCAGAAGGAAGCACTAAAATCGCCAAATAGTACAGAAGTATAAGCATCAACGTGAYGTTAGACTCCCATTTAGTTTCAAACTTAAACTCAGATTTTTTAATTCATTTATTAAAAGGGATTCTGTGATTWAAAAAAATCCCATCAATGCAGACAATACTGAACTTTATGTTTCTGTCAAATCAACTCCTAATAAAAATGTGACAAATTGCATGTGTGTAATTTGGACCAGGTACGAATTATTATTTTAACATGAGTCAGATGTTGATTTAAGAACTGCAGAGTTTTTAGTCATCTACTCACAGGAGGCCTTCTGGGTCCCAAAGTGGAGCTCCAGATCCAGATACTTCACCATGTCATGCAGTTTTTCATAATCTGAATTTTCYCCCAACTACAAAAAGACATTCAATAAAAATAACCATGAAGTTTAATGATATGATTTGGAYAAAAATTCTGTTGCACTTGACRGRTATTTGTGACTKATTAACTGAATTTTATACCTTGTACTTGGGTCTCTGGTCTCAACTCCACACTACTCACCTGTCCCCATATAGTCCCCTCTGAGTTCTCCACTTGTTCCCAGCGCAGCCTCTTCACGCTCATGTGATGAGAGTCCATCCTGGACAGGGTGGGTCTTGGCAGTGGAGGAGGGGAGCAGGGGGGCGGTAAGGGTGGAGGAGGAGGAGGAGGCGGCTCTAGGTGCTCCGTGGGATCAGAGATGGAGTGAGGGAGCGACGGGGGCTGACTCTGGGTTTGGGACTGCTTGTGGTGAGGTTGGGGTTGTTGGGTCCGCAGGAGGTGGTGCGAGGGCTGGGAGTGTGGGCGGGCCGTTTGCGCCGAGGACTGGACCTGCTGCTGAGGCGGGGGGTGTTGGGGCAGAGGCTGGAAGGTGGAGAGGCTGGGCTGGAGGGGCTGGAAGGTGGTGAGCAGTGGCTGGGGCCTGTGTGGCTGCTGGGGAGGATGAATGACGTGGATCTGGTGCTGRTAGTCCTGAGGAGGGGGCTGCGGGATCATGTGGTGGATGTGGTGGATCTGAGRCGTACTGGAATGATGGTGGGTCTGTTGGATCGAGTGGGGTCTCTGTGGGGAGGGTTTAGTGGGCTGTGAGTGGTGGATCTGCTGAACCTGCTGGTCTTTGGGTCTGCCCTGCAGCGGAACRTCAGCTTGATGATGACCTTTGAGGCTCTTGCGACTCTGGTGGGTTTGGCCCTCGCGGTTGAGCTGAGTTGGGAGGGAGGCGGGCTCTTGCCGAGCCTCGTGCAGAAGCTCCGTGGAGGAGTGGTGGGGCTTGGGTTGGTGCATCTGATGAGCCTGATGGAGAAGCTCCATGGAGGAGTGGTGGGGCTGGTGCACCTGGTGGAGCAGCTCGCTCGAGGAGTGGTGGGGCTGTCCTCGGTTCATCTGGTGAGCTTGATGGAGGAGCTCGGTTGAAGAGTGGTGGGGCTGCATTCGCTGCATCYGGTGCAAGAGCTCCGTGGAGGAACGATGGGCCGCGGCCTTCTGCATCTGCTGGAGCAGCTCTGATGAGGAGTAGTGGGCGTGGGGTTGGTGCATCTGCTGGAGCATTTCTGCAGAGGCGTGGTGGACCTGGGTTTGCTGCAGCTGATGGAGCATCTCTGATGAGGAATGATGCGCTGGAGYGTGATGCAGCTGGTGGAGCATCTCTATGGAGGAATGGTGGGGCTGTGGCCGTCCGCCCTGATGACTTTGGTAGATGCCCTCTGGATACGGACTTTGTTGTCCCGGATGCACGGCTTGCTGCGGTGACGGSTGATGTGGGGGAGGAGCGGAGCGGGACAAGCGTCTATGGTGAAGGCTGTGCCGGGTCTGTTGCTGCTGCACTTGCCGCATCATATAAAGAGGGTGGTTTTGATGGGTGGGGTCCTGGGAAGGTAAGGGGGGTAACGACTGGTGTGGCTGTTGGAGAGGCAGAGGTGGGTGGGCTTTCTGCTGTGTTGGTTGGACCGGCATCGACTGGTGGCTCTGGTACATCTGCTGCATCTGTTGCTCTTGATACGCTTGACGCTCCTCGTAAGCCCTGCCCTCCTCATACGCTTTCTGCTCCTGGTAGGCCTGAAGCTCTTGAAGCGCTTTTTGCTCCTGGTAGGCCTGGTGTTGCTCATAGGCTTGTCTTTCTTGGTAAGCCTGCTGCTCCTGGTACATTTGMTGCTCCTCAAAGGTTTTTTGCTCCTTGAAAGCTCTCTGCTCCTCGTACATTTTCCTTTCTTTGTATATTTTTTCTTGCTGTTCCTGCCGATCTTGGAAAAGTTGCTGTTCCTCGTAGGMTTTTTGCTCCTCGTACGCCTGCCTCTCCTTATACGCTTGCTGCTCCTCAAAAGCTTGTCTTTCCTGGTAGGCCTGTTGCTCTTGGAATGCTTTCAGCTCCTGTATGGTAGCGTGGACCTGCAGGTCTTCTCTTGCAGGGAGGACTTTGTGTAAGGAGTGGCGTTTTGGTGGCGGATTGCTGCGGGGAGGAGGTGGTGGAGGTGGGCCAGATTTCCGGCGGATGGGCAGGTATCCTCTTGGTAATGGCTCAGGAGATAAGCTCATTGATTCCTGCTGTTGCTGCTGCTGGGGTTGACTCGGCGCAGGCGGCGCAAGGGGAGGAGGTGGGTCATTGAACTGAACAGGTGGGGGTGGCGGAGGTGACATGGGCGGTGGAGGAATGTGATCGGAGGACGAGGAATAGGTGAGGGAGGAGGCGTTCTCCTCGCCGCTGCTGCTCTGGACGTCGCTCGGGCTGCTTAGCTCTGGATCGACAAATCCCCCGTTCTCCTCTTCATCCACCCCGAGCTCATCTTCATTATCCTCCTCATCCTCATCCGGGTAGCCCATCTGCACAACATCCTAACATTAACACCAATTACACTGCATTAGAACTTTAGTGTCAAAGTGGAACTTTTGGAAACAGAAAAAAAAATGCACAAATAAGAACTTTCTGACGGATTGAACCAAAGATGTTTTATGTCATGTGATGAATAACAGAAACCAGGGAAATAAACTACACTATACTTTAGATCCATTAACTAGAAGCACTCGGGGAGCGCAAACCTCCGCCAAGTCCAATTTCCCCCATCCTGTAATAGAGTTAATGCACAAAAGCAGAGATGGAAACACATTTGCCGAATAAGTTCTCACGTAGCAAACATTTAAGCAGGCAGTATGCACGGAATTTCTTCTYGGTGGAGTACAATGTGGGAAAAAAAAATCAGACTCGTCACCCGACGTTATTCATCRTCAAACTTGTGTCGGATTAAGCTCCTAAGTTTTCATCAGTCACATTTCACCATGTAAAATGTCTGTTTTATCCCCTTGTATGAGTTTGTAATGGTTTGACTCTCTTTATAAAGTGCTTCCTGGTACAGTCGSCTCATGAAGCGAGTGGGTCAGCAGCGTGACCGAAAACATTACCTCRCCCCTGGTCTCATTTAAATAATAAAAAATGAAAAAACAAACAACCTCCGAGTCTGAAGTCCACCGCACCTGTGCACATCACTCCTCTTCCTCGTTCTTCATCTATCTGTGTACAAGCCTACCGACAATGTGGTGTGTTTGAGGAAATGGAAAAATAGGTTTCATGGTGTAGTCACGCACTTCCTGGTCGCAAAACGTTCTCTAAATGTGCACCAAATGCGTAAAAATGCGCACATTATGGCAAAAATTATTCATCATTACATCTGGTTTTAACGTTACTTTTATAAAGTTTGAAGTCTGTGCTGTGTAATCCAGTTCAAATGAACACTGAAAGCTCTCACTGTTTTTTACAGAAGCCCTGTGAAAGCATCACAGCTTTGCAGATCTCAGAGGATTAATAGAAAAAGAATTCCTGTATCCACATCGTGATCCAGAACATCACCAAAATTTAATGGTGTGTTACTTGGGCCAGTACCCACATGTGGTGTAAATGTCATGACAATCTGTCCACAAATTTTTGAGTAATGTTGTCCATAGACAGGCCGACCGACAGACGCGACTGAAAACATTACCTCGCCGTTGGCGGAGGCAATTAAAGAGTGACAAGTCATTTCCTTATTTGCGTTTCTGTAACACTACCTCTTCATAGTCATTTTCAGGGGTCAGGAAGTCGTCAACGATTGCCACCCTCTGTCCCAGCTGCTCGCTCAGCGCGTCCAGAAAGCGATCCGTGTCCTCCGAGCGAGGAGGTTTGGAGAAGGTGTAGCGCCGCTTGCTGCTGCGTCGGACAGGTGGGCTGGAAGGGAAGTCGGGTTCTGGAGGGGATGGAKGGGGGCTGTCTAAACTCATGTAGGGGTTAGACTCCCCACTCGTCTGGCTCGTCAACCCCGGTGGGTAGAACTGGGCTGGAGGGGGACTGGGCAGAGGGTCTGGCCAGGATGAATGGGTTGGGGGTCCCTTATGGCTGCCTGAAACAAAGATCATGTACAGATAAACACCGAGAGTCAAGTCTCCGCTTTTTTTTCTTCAACTCATGCAGCATTTGATAAAACAAATTTTCTACTGAAAAATCAATGAATACATGAATGTTCCACTTCTACCATCACTGTTTTGATGAGTTAAAGCAGATTATTATTTGTAAATTCTGTTCTGCTTCACAGTTAGGTACACCACACATTCATAAACTGTATTCAAGTTTAATACAAGCTACGAGTATTTGTACATATATTATATATATTTATATATAGTATTCATGTCATGCAGCACGTTTTAAACTTATCTTCCAATAATGTGATGATAAACTCATGCACAAAGACGCACATTATAGTTTACAGAAAAACAAAATTTGCGGAGTGTATTTCTTTAATTCCAACAGCCACGAGTGAAATTCATCTACCTGTGTTAGTATTTATGAGGGGAGACTCCGGCCGTGGTGGAGAGTCCAAATCCAACAAACTCTCAGGTTCAGGCGGAGGACGGCTCTTCAGAGACTTGGACCTCTTGGCTGAGTACATGTTTTCCAGTTCAGCGTACACTGCTGACAGCTTTTATAAATATATATATTTTTAAAAAGGCACCAGAATGGGACTCTCTCATCCTAACGTTGAATAATGATGAAATTTGCAGTGTTATTTGTTTCAACATTAAAGGAGGCTGTGGTACATACATTAGTGAGGTTATTGGGAGTCTCCGGCAGAGAGGTGCCATCACCGGACTGACGCTCTCCAGGGGCCAACCTCATACCTGTTTCCTGTGTGGACTCTGCACGGAGGCCTGTGGTGAGAAACTCAGAATGATTTTAACACATCTCAGCTGATTGACCTCTGTATGTTTTTCCAATGTGTGGATATGGGAGAATTTGGGCCATTTAGAAGACCTAAAACGGCAACCACAACATTAAAGAGGTGGTATGAAAATTGTGAAGTGGCTTTTTGTGGAGCAATCAATAGCTTGCCTGAAGAAGAGAGAAGTCAGATCAAACWATTTTAAGACATTTAGGAAGAGATGCTCAAAGGGGGGTCAAGCTAAGGGCTAATCAGATTGAAGCCTGTTCCAGAGTTAATTTCATCCATTTTTAAATCCAAAACATCAAACCAGTATAAATTTATACTCCAATTTAAAGTGCCTGTAGCATCAAATTTTTGTAATAAATATGAATGTATTTTTGGAAAGATAACATTGACATCATTGCGCCAAAACAAATCCATGCAGCTGAGATGAACAGTTGTTGAGATGTTTGCATGTGAAGCAACAGGAAGTGATGTCAAAGAGGAATGTCTGCATGTGAACAAAGAGTTGCTACAATGGTCGACAACACGGATTGTAGCGAAGAATCTGATGTTTCTTTAAATTATTTTGAGTCACTTTCAGAGAGAGACAAAGAAGAGTTAGACTTCAGATAATATTGTTTCAACAAACAAAGACCAGAGTTTCTTTCTTAAAGAATTCTCCTTTGATCTCACTTCCTGTTTCACTTTGACTAAGCAAAGTTCCAAAGAAAAYATGCCAGTTATGTGACAAATTTATAAAATCACGTCTTATGCTAAGTTTCTTAAATATAAAGATGTTTTCTTTTGACTTTTTGTATTTGAAGGATATGCATGTCATAGACACTTTAAACTTTTCCACTATTATTTCCACCTGACTGACCATTCTGGAAATCTATGACAGCATTTTCTTGAACTTGCTTTTAAATTGTGGGGGTTTCGTTTGTTTCAAATGAAACAAGACTCAGGCTTATAAGCTACTGACTAATTTTCACGAGAATTTCCTCCTGATCCTCCAAACCAGGGGTGGGCATTGAGGGCTGCAGCCCTGCCTGTTTTACTTGTTTCTCTGCTCCAACTCACCTGATTTGAATGAATGGCTGATTATCAGGCGTCTGCAGAACTTGGAAGAGGYAATTCAGWGACWGAATCAGCTGTGCTCGAGCAGGGAAGAAACTAAAACATGCAGGGCTGCAGCCCTCRAGGACCAGCATTGCCCCATCCCTGCTCCAAAATGAAAATTCCTTGACTGTTGTTTACCACAGGTAAGATGCTGACTATAGTTACATTTTCCACAAAACCCCAATTTAAAAAAATCTAATGCTTAAACTGGATCACTTGACTTGTTAAAGTTGCAAGTCAGGAGTGTTTATGGTAAATAGGATGACACTGAAGAGAATGAGAGTGCTGTGGGGGTGGGGTGGGGTGGGGGTCTTTACTGATGGTGTTAAATATGCTGAATTTCAGTACCCATGCCTAAGTGTGTGCCAATGACCAAGTCATCAGAGCTGCGGCCCCTCACACTGCTCCTGTACGTGGTCCCTGTCACCCTCATGGAGCTGCTGCGGCGATGGGGCTCCGGGGCCGGCTCTGGCTCCGGAGGAGGGGGAGGCGGAGGTGGTGGTGGTGGAACTGGAGCACACACACACATATCGACAAAAGAAGAAACATACAGCACGGAGAAATGCAGCAGTTCAGTGAATGACTGATTTAATTCAAGAACCCCACATCAWAGCTCCTGACCTGTACCTGACGGTGTCCCACGAGTCACAGAAACACGTCAAAGAGGTCAACAGGAAAGCCTCACCTGGTGCTTTGTAGCCAAGAAAACGTGAAATCTTGCTCTGGCAGTGCTCTTGTTCTTCGTACGTCAGCAGCTGGTAAACAAACTGCCAGATCACCTGCTTGGCTGGAGTATCCAGCACTGGGAACACATCCACAATCAGCGTGTCAACATTCCTGTTGCAATGGAAACACAGGCAAGGTGACACAGACCGCCCAGGGAAGACGTCACATTAATTAGTGGATGATTAATAAAGATGTTAAGAGATTTTTAAACTTCTCTATGGTTAGGTTTTTTTTTCTTTGTCCCTTGGAAAGGACATAGCACATATAAAATATGTAAATTCTTGATACAACAAAATTTTTAAAAAGGTTTGAGCATGGTGTGTGGTAAAGTTCATTTTTCCTCAAAAACGGAGAGAAACATATAAAAAAAAAATGACTGGCCACTTTAGAAAACCCAACACTAAATCAGAAATAAAAGAGACTTTTAAAAAGTTATCCAAACAGTAATATATATATAAAACACATGATTGTATTAGAAGATACACAAGTGCACAAAAAGATAAACAAGAACGAGATATAGTGGTTTTTAATAATGATGGCCTGTCAAAATGTTTTTTGTGAAATGTTACCACCTTAAATATTGTTGCTTGCCTTACCGATATTTTTAATTTTGCTGTATTTTCTGCACATTCTTCTGCTTAAAATCTCAGTAAAGCAGCTAAAACCTCCCATAAAACCTCTCAAAGTCTAACTGTTTTGTCTACACATCATCATTCTTTTTTTTATTTTACAATTTAACGATGATTCTTATAAAATATACAGTATTTGTCTTATTCAGAACACAATGCAACATGATAAAGATAAAAAGAGGAATAGTTACTGATCCCTCACGTCTATCCTCCTTTTTTTCCACTCACCGGTGCTGGAAGAAGTTCTCCAGAGCTTTGCAGATGATGTACCTCTCCTGGATGGTCAGCAGGTGCTCCAGCTGTTGTCCAAAGGTGCGGCCCTGCACCCTGATGCTGGGGGGCAAAATCTCCGCCACCCACTGCAGGGAGCTGAGCACCGGAGAACGGGCGCGTTCCGCGGGAACGCCTCCCCCCGTAGGGTCCTGCTCGGCCAGCGTGAAAGTGGGCGGGCCTTCTTCCACCACCAGGGTGGGCATCGCCCCGCTTCCTTGCAGCATGGACACAACTTTCTCATGAGAGGAGGTCCTGCAGATAGACACAAGTTCATTCAAACAGAAATGCTCCCCACCCAAAAAACAAAACAAAACCCCATGCCAAAGAAATGAAACATTTTCTATCTTTTACACTGAAGCAGTGACAAATCACTCTACAGAAGACTGGAGACATGCAGGAGTGCAAACACKTCTATGTTCTTTGATGCACTTCTTTTTATTACTCGTCTTTTCATCTAAGCTATTTTTAGAATCAAATGTTGCATTAGAAATCAGATTTCTACTCCTTTTGGTGGCTGGAAGCTCTAAAATACAACAGAAAACCTCAAACACCAAAACAACACTTACACTTAGACGCTTTCTTTTTTACACTTGTATCTATTTTTTTTATGAAATTACATTATAAACTAGACATAAGCAAACCGTATTGTTCACATGAAAGGTTGCAGGTAATGTAAGCAGAGCTCGACCTCATGTCCAGGCCGTTGAGAAACAGAATCCGGTCTCCTGGTTTTAAACCTGCCTTGTCTGCAGGGCTTCCTGAAGGCAGAAAACATGTCAGATGAAGTGACACCACAGGGAAAATGCAGCTTTAAAAAGAGACCGTGGAGTCCTGGGGACTGTTACTGTAGTGTCAAAAAGAAAAAAAGAAAAGAAAAKAAAAAACCAGGAGAAAAAAATGCAAAAGCAYGTGTTTAAAACTCACCAGGGATCACAGAGTCAATCCAGACCGGAGCGTGGCCTCTCAGGGTGAAGCCGAAACTTAAGTTGCCCTTACAAACTCTCACTGTCCTAAGACACAAGTTGGAGCTCTGATTATTTATCAAGGCCTTTAATGCAGGGGTGGGCAATCCTGGTCCTCGAGGGCCGCAGCCCTGCATGTTTTACTTGCTTCACTGCTCCAACACACCTGATTTGAATGAATGGATGATTATCAGGCTTCTTGCAGTATGGAGGACCGAAACTGACATAATTACAAATAAAAGCAGAATTATTTAAATGAACCACTAAATACATACATTTGAAATGCACCAATAAAATAACAAAAGGAGAACTTTATCTCATGTTTTTTGTTTGAAATGACTTGAATATTTATTTTTCCAGTTTAGTATAAATTAGTCTATGTATTTTAACACATAATTTAAATTTGAATGTTTTTTAAAACACATTTTTTGTTTTTCCTTTTACTTAAAGTCTCTTAAATGTTTACACTTAATTATTTTTATATTTTTCCCACAAGGCTTTTTTATTTCTATGTGTTGCAGGCGTGTGCTGCCTCAGTTTAGCTTAAAGTTTAGTTTAAAACAAAGGCAAAGAGAAAAACTTACCCGTGCCTTTGTTTTTAACTAAACTTTAAACTTTAAGATAAACTGAGGCAGCACATGCCTGCAACACATCGAAACAACAAAGACTTGTGGGGCAAAACTATAAAATATTTCAATTTAAACATTTAAGAGACCAATGTATGTACAAGTAAAAGGGAAAACTGAAAAATATATATTTTAAAAAACAGTCAAATTTGAATTTTTAAAAAAATATCAATTAAACGAGAATTAAATTACAAAACATGAGGTGAAGTTCTTTTTTAATTGAATTGGTGCATTTTAAGTGTATTTATTTATTTAGTGGTTCATTTAAATATTCTGCTTTTATTTATAATTATGTCAGTGTCGGTCCTCCATACTGCAGAACTTAGACGGTAAATCAATGACTGAACCAGGTGTGTTGGAGCCAGGAAAAACGTAGAACATGTAGGGCTGCGGCCCTTGAGGACCAGGATTGCCCACCCCTGCTTTAATGCAAAATAAAAACATTAAATGTATAGATTATTATGCCTGATAGATATTAATGGTAGCATTTGTGACATAGATACAAAGAAAAGGAATTGACAGCAAAAAAAAATACATGAAAGCAAATCATTACACCTTTGTATAATGGTCCATATTGATTATTTAATTAAATAATTAAATATTGGATAAACATTAGACCATTTCCTTGTTAAAAATTTTTACAAATGTGCCTGCGCATAGTGGGCTGAGCTCACACGTTTATAGAGGAAACGCTAAGGCTGCTAGAAACTCTACTAGAATTGAACAAATTCAACAAGTAAATTTACACTTTTATACAGATCTGATGTATTTGCTCTAAACTGATTCATTATAAACGTTCCTTTATGATCATAGATGGGATTTTTCATAAGAATCTAAGCTGTAAATCAGATTTTTCATTGCAAGCTCAGCATTTTCTCAGTTCACCTGTGACCCAGAAGAGTTAGGCTCCGCGAGTGCTCGTAACTGCAAAATGGTTTATTCTTCTGAAACCTGAACAATAACTTTAAAATAAAAGATAGTGACAGGATGTTTGGTCATGAATGATCATTTTTAATAACTAATGGTACTATCTGAGATGTTGATATTTTGTTGAATTTTAGTATGTTTTATTTGGTTTTGTGCTTTTGTTTTAATTACATGTCCGTTTTAATTTTCTATTTAAACTTTTATTATGCATTGTGACTGTTTTGTTGGCTGTAACTGTACAGCACTTTGGTCCTATGGTTGTGTAAAGTGATTTATAAATAAAGCTGGTATGATATGCTAACTATTGTGTACAATACTTAAGCAACCTACTGTTAGATCGAATCTTTAAAATATGTTTTTCAAAACCTCACAGTGTAAAATCAAACACGTTTCAAATTAAAAGAGTTGTCTTTAAGTAAAACTGAAAAATTATTTAAATTAATGGCTCCACTAAAAAGATAAGTTTAAACGATTTCTTAAATTTTAAACTTTATTTAGATTTGAGCATTTGAATAAAGTTAATTGATCGATTAAGCTAGAAATGACAAAATTAATGTATTTGACTGATTTAGTTGTGTAATTTGCTGCTTGCCTTACTGATATATTTAATTTTGCTGTATTTTGTAATGTGCTGTCATTATGATCCTGTTTAAATATAGTTATGTTTTGAACTTTTTTAAAACTATATTTTAATTTAAATGCAACAATGTCACAAATAATATCAGAACAAAGTACTGAAATAACAAAAAACACAAAATCCAATTTTACAGTGTAACGAGCTGTTTAAAAAGACCTGGTCTACTGGTCAGGTCTGCTACAGACCTGCAGTTGGGGGCGCCACCAGAGTGGCCCGCCATGAGTGAGGTGATCTTGCGCATGCCTCTGGCAGGCAGGGCCATGCCCTCTTCTGCGTGGGTGCGCGGCACTGAGCTGGCTCGGGTGGAGACCAGGAGACGTTCGGGGTGGTCCTCGCTTCGGCTGCGGCGAAACTGGCTCCGGCTGGGGTCACTGAAGCTCCGCCCCTTCAGCCGGCTCATCAAACTCTGAGAGACCACCTCGTCGAAACGCTCCCGGTGCTTTTTGGGAATGAAGATCCTGGCGGGACAAAGATCAGTTTGACAGAAAACCCCAAGAAAACCCAAAGCAATCAAAGCAAAGTGACTTGTTCTGGTCCGGTATAGTTTTGGATCCATCTAACTGGTTCAAACCCAGTTAAGTCCAAACCCTCTGAGCTGATGATAGAGGCAGGTGGTCCAACACTGAGTGTGCCTATGAGTGACAAGAGATGAGCTTTGTTGTGTGATCCTGTTAGCAGCTGGAGGGACGATTGTTCAACTAAGAGCCAATAAATACTTCACTCTGTAATTTTCCCTACAAAATACCTCCCAATGTTTTGTTCCTCCTTAAGGAAATCTTACTTTTACATGTGCTGACAGCACATTATAGTTTGCTATATTTAATGGGCTGTACTCAAGATGAAAAAAACTAAAGTGTTTGTTAGCTCGCATTTGTCAAATACTGCATCTAATCCATCAAGACTGTTTTGACCTCTTGGAGCATTGATGTAAAAATAGTACACGTTTTTACCTGCATGATTATCCAACAACATCAGCAGACAACTGGAATGAACAAAAAAAAAAAAAAGCCTGATTCTGAAGGACTAAAGCTCAACCCTGACATCTGCCAGCAAAAGCTTGAAAAGTCTGCTCTCATTATCCTTGTTCATGACTGAGCCGTCTGCTGCGCATTGTTTCAACGCTGCCAATTATCTGTAACAGAAAAAGAAAAAGATACAACAAAAACACAGAAATGACCCAGAAAAAGAGGATGGGCTTACATAAATGGTTTTGAAAAACCATTCTGAGGGATACAGACGCCCAACTTTACATGCGACAGCCGCGCTGCCTCCACTCTCCACAGATCTATCTGCTGTGTGTCTTCTTGTCTCCTGGGTGCTCTCGCTGCGCAGAGGAGCAAAAACTATTTTGGCTTTCCAGAATGAGCCAGTTATACTGTAGTGTGCCTCCATAAAAACAGCACAGAGAACTGGGTGATTCTTAGCCATCCCTGTGGAACTGAAAACTGAGGGAAACGAACCAATTTTCTCCTCTGGAGATGGCTCATCAAGACCAAAGTGACTCAGCAAAAGTTCAGCAGTTTGTGCACCGAAACACACACACACAAAAGAAAAAAAATGTGTAACAAAGGTTGAGAGAAAATCTCACACTGACCAAATAAAACCAGGTTGTGTCTAAATGAGATTGTGTAAATGATTTAAAAAATCACCGTCCCAGAGTTGAGGTTGAAACCTCACTGTAGGTTGTGAAACATCAGGTGGACGAGGATTAAAATGGTCTTTAGAATCATCGCTACAAACAAAAGTGTTACAATTATTTTTGCAAGAAATAACAGCAGTAGTCATCCTATGGTTTTATAATTGCTGAAGCTGTTTGTGTTGTCATTATGATCCTGTTTAAATGACATTTTTAGCAATGTTTTATAATTTGATCTGTGATGGAAGTATTTGTGGGTAAAAAAAGAAAATAAATAAAATCTTACTCTAAAAGCTATATTTTAAATCTTTTAAACTAAGGTTCGGTAGAAGAGTTGTGAGCAATGAATAGATCGCTTTTTGACAGACCCCAGTTCAAATAAAATAGGGATTTAATTCTGCCTAGAGTGACGAGCTAACGGCTAGTCTGAGCAAGACCAGCTACAATCCCATCATTTTAAAACAAGTCCACTCCCAAACATTTCAAGTGATTCATTTCTGTCACTTTAACATCATCTGGTTATAATGGCAGAAATGGTTTTGATATTACGAGAAGAGTAGCTGAGCTGCAGAGGAAGTGCTACAGCTAGCTGCAGCTGCTTCTTGCTCTTAGAATTCTACATGAGCAGTTATGAAATGCAAATTAATGGCAGAGTAAAGGTTTATAAAATGGTTTTAATATATATTAAAATGGCAGCAATACATGTTGGTCTTGGCCCCGTTCCAACTAGCCATTAGCTCATCACTCTGGTCCGGGGGTCTGCAACCTGCGGCACCGGAGCCACATGTGGCTCTTTGGGCCCTCTGCAGTAAATGTGACCAAACATAACAGAATATTTTTTTTGGGTGGGGTTAGGGGGTATACCCACGAAAGAAATCAATTTGTATGCAAATTTGAGATCAATACTACTAATACAAAAAGTAAAACATGTTAGCTCATGCTAGCCTGTTGTTTACTTAAATATTCCAATTTCTTTCTATGATCTTTCACTCAAATCCATCAGAATTACCTTTAAATAATTTGAAGACTACATATTAATAAGAATTAGAACAAAAAAACGTGCCTGAATAATTCAGTTGTACTAGTTTTTATTAAATTTGGTATAAACTATATACAGTATATACATTCTTTGTTGTTAACATTTTTATGGTCTTTTTATTTATCCTGATGTGTATAATGATAAATAATATACCAGTAATAATAATAATATATTTATATTTTGTTTTATAACGTCACCTCCACTGACTGTAAATGTTACTGAAAAGGCCTTGAAAAGGCCCACGGACCACCAGTTGATAATCACAGTTGTAGCTTGTTTTGCGGCTCTGGACACATTTTATTAGTGAGAAAAGGAGCACAAATGGCTTGTTTGATTGTAAAGGTTGCAGACCCCTGCTCTGGTCAGATTTAAGCTATTTCTCCAAACTGATGTTCATCAGGTAAAATATTAATGTTTTTATAACCTTTCCACAGAAACCCAACTCCAAAAAGAATCTAATCTCACATTAACGCTTGTGCCCAATCGAGTGTAAAGTTACATTTTTAGTTTTTTGTGGCAGCATAACGCAAACATGGTTTGTACGTTCTTCAGTCTGCAGTCACGTGAAATTAAATACAATCAACAGTTGAACCCCCGAACAACAACTAAAACAGAGATTTTTCCTCAACATTTGATGTTTACTGTAACTTCCTCCTCATAATGACAGAGAAAACTCAAGCAACTCAGTCACCCGCAGCATTAAAGATGTCTCGTTGGTCCAACAAATAATGTATAAATGTGTGCATGAGCTGCCTTGGGTTGTGCGTACGTGCTTACAGCTCAGTGCAAGCTCAAATCCAGGGGAGCTGCTGTGTGTGTGCTGCAGGTGACAGTGATTAAGTGCTTAGTCTTGCAGCAAACAGCCGACGCTTCCCTGAACGCCGGAGGTCGTGGCCGTCTGGGCTGCTCCGTACTGCGACAGAGAAGTTGTTTTAACACCGTAGCTCATAAAAACGCCACACCGAGAGACGCAATCTACTGAAATAAAGATATGAGGGGAAGAAATTGATGAGCTGATGGGATAGGAATGGCAAGAAAGTGGCTGAGACAAATAAAGGAGTCATGAGAGTAAAAAAAAAATAGAGAAAACTGAAACTCTTTCTAGGCCAGGGTCACGCTGGGAATGAAGCTGTGTCATCTGTGGCTTATGTAGGCCAAAAACTTTTCCTGAAAAACACTTAAAGCTGCTTAGACAAACTGCACAGGGTCGTTCATCATGCACAAACACTTCCTTAACCCTAATTTGCTCCACGACTAATAGTATTACCTGCAATTCACTGCCGCTAACAAGTTTCCTCTCCTTGACTGAAGTTGGATGTAGGTTTTGTGATGTCCTCAATTAGAAGGATGGCAAGAGGACTCTATAATTGGGTCTGAGGGAGGGGTGGATCAGGGACACAAGGCACAGAGGGATGAATGACAACTACAATCAACTGGGGAACTCATCGCAAGATCCATTATTATCAGACCCACTTCTGATCAGCCGGGGCCGAGCATGAATGTGCAAACACAAAAAGACACAGAGGAGTGAAATCTGAAGGGTGGAATTAAATAAAAATAAGTTGCTTCTCAGAGCGTGCTCTGTAGGACTTCTCTTTTGTTTCTCATGCAAGAATCAGTTGGGGTTTTTAAGAGAGAGAAAGGCAGCAGTTATCAGAACAGATCTCCAGCGTGAAGCCGTGTCACGGACAAGCTACAACTAACACAGAACTTTATCTAAAATCAAAAGAAAGGCATACCGAAAGTGTCTGGACACGATACTGTCCCTTCCCATGGCTCTTCGATGCTTCGAAGGAAGTGTCTCAGATCATAAACATGTCTGTCACAAAAAACGTCTCCATGTAGCTCAAACAACTTTTCCAGACAAAAAAGGAGAAAAGGGAGAAGCAAGAAGGTGTCCTGGACCTTCAAAAGCACTGGCTGCAGGCTCGGAAAGCAGGTAACCGAAGAAAGGGAGTAAATGAATCAGAAGGAGGGAGCAAACTGTAAGAGCGGCCGTGGTCTACATCCCTCCACGCCTCCATGACCTCCATCATCAGCTCTTCTTCATCCAGAAATGTTCCCACGTTGAAGTCGTTTCACAGGAGAGGCAAACGGCGAGGGTCAACGCTTTCTGATCGCCATCATTCAGCAGTCAGAGGCAGTGAGTGAGAAAATCTTCTGCTCTCTCAGAGGAGGAAGGGAAGAATGAGAAGAACGGAGGAGAAAGTGAGGAGGGAGAGAGGAGCGTCTCTGAGGAGTTTCACAGGCAGGTCAGCTCGACGACTGGAGCTCCGTATAAAACAGACACACTGAGGCTTTGACAGCTTTTCTCTCTGACAAATCATCTGCCCTGCGTGGAGACGTCCATCAGTATCCTTAACCCCAGAGCAGAAACATTTGTGTAATCATGGCCTGCATCCGAAAGATGACAAGCGGCCAATAAGGATTTGATTTCGCCTGTCAGCAAAATATCACATGAACCACAGGACGAATTTTAATGAAACCTTTAGAAATGGATGTGTGTGAAAAACAATGTATTTTTGAGTTAATGGTGCAAATAATCAACTTTTCAGTAGGTACTGAGATCAAATCTGCTGCGGTACTCACCGAGACTCCAATCCCACTTTTTTGAGCACCCATAGCTTGTGTGAGATCAGACATAATTGTTAAACTTTTGAGACAATTTCCAGCACTTGCTGACCTCCAGGCTTCACCACCACCAAATCTGACACAAAAAAGAGATTCTAAACCCTGAGACAGGATTTACTGAAAGTAGGTTATCTAAAAATAGAACACATTAG